GAGTCTCAAATGTAATTTGGGATAGGTGAAGGGATTGCAATAATATTATTGTGGTGCACTTTAATATTATTAATATATTAATTGTGGGGTTGCTCCACAGTAATAATATATTAGAAGCCCTTATCCTATTCTCCTTAGGGTCCCTACTGTAGCTCTATATATACAACATTAGGCTCTTGGAAGAGAACACACAATCTCATAACCTAGCAAACACGTTCGCCCCCCCTCTCTCTCTCTCTTCCAAGGAGTTGTTTTATTTCTTGTGCTCCACTGATACAAGATCTAGATAGCTGTTTGAGAATACAGTAGAAGATCTTAAGGTATATACGGGATTCCAATCAAATCTATCATCCATGCAAACCGGAGACCAAAACCAGCAAGTGACCATACCACGACGACCAGGACGACGAGTCGAAGAGATCGCCGTCGAGATCGCTGCCAGCCGCCGCCACACGCGCCTACACGCGCCACTGGAGGATTGCTGCTACTGAGACTCACACGCGCGCGTGAGAGCGCGTGGAAGCTCCGATTCCCGACCGGTCAACGCCGTTGACTTCGCCATGACGCCAGCTTCCTGGATTGGTCAAGTTTGTTCGATTCCGAGGAGATTTGATTTGCGGTCATCCGTTCGGGCCAGCCAGATCTACTTTAAGCCGTAAGTTTTCTACATCAAACCTTTAGATCCGCTGCGCATAGGTTTATGTTTGAATGTTTATCCGTGATTTGTGCATATCGAGATCCTCATAGATCCCAACAATTATGGGATATAATATCAGAATCGCACAATCAACCCAATTGTGCGATTATTATGGGACATGTTATACGAATCGCGCAATCAACCCAGTTTCACTAATTTTTGTTAGTCAATCGTGTGCAGGTCACAACTTAGGGCTCCAACACAGTATTTTTCCCGTTAAAAGTATTGTTTTCGTTAAATTGGTTTACAATTACAAACTCCATCTTCATCTTAATTGTCATGGATTGGACGTGATGGACAAGATGACGATTTGTGACCTGTTTCTTTACATTTATGACATCTCCTCGGGCGTCTTGGATGAGGAGTTGGCGCTTTTTGACCTTCTTTATTTGAAAAAAAGTCATTATCACCATCGTATAGAGGGCACTTCGCCCTGTTATGCCTGGTGACCCCGCACCGTGAGCACATCTACTGACGCCGTACTCGACATGATGATCCTTCTCCAGCAGAATAACGTTGAGTTCGTGGTCGAACTGCTTGTTTGGGATCATTTGGCGGAATTACCTTTTTACGTATAATTTCTGGGGGCAAGTGCCATTCATCTGGATGCGGGACGGGGCTAACGGTGCTTTGGTACATCCTTGCAACTGAGTAGGTTTTGTAATGGTCATTAACGAAATCCATTATACATAACCCGGCTTCCCTGTTACATATCGTAAATGCACATCATATTAGAATATTGTATTTTTTTTTTAAGAAAAAAGTGATAAATGTTGTTTGGTAAACATTACCGAATAGCCGTAGATGCATGTAAGCAAGGTAGTAGATCTGTTTCAAACACATGACAATCACATATTCTTGCCTCTAAACTACCACGTAGGATCGTGTTTCTTTCATAACCCTATAACGTTGCATGTCGAGTGTGATAATGGATAGAGTACGACCTTTCTCGAACAAAGGATCCAACCGCAATTGAGTCCACTGCGTTAGCAGATGATTGCGACCCTCGGCGGATGCACGCCGACCAGCAAACCATTTCTTTATCGTTGCTCAAACACACTCCAACAACGAGCAAATGGATAACATCCTGGCCCAACGGAGTTTGTTGTTCAAACTTTCGCATGAATTGGATGTCATGAATCCATAGCGCCGTACAAGTGTAAAACACCTCGCCCAAGAATTTACCGGAATTTCATTAGTTAGCTTTTTAAATGCTTCGGGTTTTAGGCTTTGGATGGATGACAAGTAACGATAGAAGTTTTCACACCCATAACAATATGCCGCCTTGTAAAATATGTCCAAGACAGATTTCCTAAAAGGCCTCATTTGTTTTGTGATGTGATAACAGCAAAATGAATGATGCGCCTCGGGTAACACTATTGGGATAGAATATATGATAGACTCATGTCTATCCGATACGATGAGGAGGTTATCAGGACAACCATAGGCCCTTTTCAATTGTGTCAAAAACCAACTCCAAGTCTCACGACGCTCTACATCACCAATGCCAACTGCGAGGGGAAAGATTTAGTGATTCCCGTCCAATGTGGCTGCAACAAACATAATGCCCTTGTATTTTCTCTTCAAGTGGGTACCATCTATCACAATCACCGGGACACTAGCTCGTTGAAAGCCCTCAATGCTAGCTCTTAGAGCAGAGAACAAGTGTTGGAATACCTCGCCATCTCGTTGCAGTTCGACAATTGTACCTGGATTACGAACCTGCAACATGTGCAAGGAACCGAGAAGCCGCCCCCATGATTCTTCATGAACTCCAAAAACTTTTTCAAAAGCACGGTGTCTTGCTCGAAGGGACACATTATAGCTGATCGACAAACCATGCTCCTCCCGCATTTGTTCAATAATTCTCCGTGTAGATACCGTCTGAGGATTTGTCTGAATAGTTGGTGCGTAAATATGAGCGAGAACCTTGGAATTAGCCGAACGGTGTCGATTGTGCGTCAAACTCCCTTCGTATGTATGCTCGAGTTTCAAAGTAGTGATTCTCCATACATCTCGCACATAACTTGTAAGAACACCCTTCATACCGACAAACAGATAGTAACCTAGAAGTGCAGGATTTGGGTGTTCGACACTCAACTTTTTGTTGCAAGTGATACAGTTGGATGGCACAAATCAACTCTTCTTTCGAAAGAAAGACAAACCCCAAAGATAATTCTATATTGTTCGAGGGTAAGTGGATGGGTTATCTATCTGATCCAGTTGTCGTGGGCGGCATAGGAAGGGACCACATTCATGGCTCAACGTCGGATTGTCGGGTGCTACCTCGATTCATATATGCAAGACTTTCAACCTTAATATGGTCGGTGATTAATCTTAGCTCTTCAATATGCTCGCTATACCACGCCCTGAAAAGCTTGAACATTTTCTTCTCATGGACCTCTTTGTCTTCGTCGCCTGAGTCACCATTGTGCGTGTTGGTTTGGTCATCATTATTGTCATCGTCACGAGAATGACCTGGTTGGTTCGAACAACCCGCAGTTTGATCATCAGCGCCCCGAGGATATCCAATATGTGTAAAAGAACTAGGGCCTGCTTGATGTGAATATGGGGCCTCGTGGGAAAATGCAGTACTACCAACACCAAAAGAACTCGGAAATACACCTTGGGACGCCATCATTTGCGTGAAACTTTGTTGCGCCGTAAATGTTGGGAGTTTTTTGTTCTTCGATCAGCTCTAAGATATCCTCACTGGATTCGATTTTCGTCTTCACATTTCGTTCCCTTCCATCAAATACTGCCCACAATATGTACTCAAAATACAAGGATCGGCCTTCAATAATGCTTGAACACGAGAAACTACTTAAGATTACATTTGTCGGCCGTAATTTATTCTCATCAGCTCTGTCACTCCACCAAGATATGAACCCCTGGAAAACGTACCACCATAGCTCACGCATACTCTAACACGGGTGCTAGCCATTCAAATAAGTGAACAACAAAAGGAATTAAAACGAAGGAAACAGAAAATTGCAGTAGAGAAGAATGGTGCAAACGTTGAATTGTTAGAGATCACTGTTTTTTTGTCTGCATGATAAATGCACAGACAAAATCCTCACCTGTGAAAAAGCAGTCAATTAATGAGGTGCGTAACTTATGCGACAGATATGCGATCAAATTCTGAATAGTCGTAAAATTGCCATGACGATATGGCCCTGCGAAAAAATGGCGCGTAATCGTCAATTAAATTATGCTTTATTCGATTTTGTTATGCGATTCTTCAATATGCGAGCGAAAAAATGTCGCATAATTCTCAATTATCCGGCGGATATATGCGAAAGTTTTTTGCATACTAGTAAATTATGCGATTGACTTGGATATGCAATTTGCAGAAAATGCAAATTCAACAAATAATGCGAATTATATGCGAAAAGTTTTCGCACAGTCATAAATTTGTAAGGTCGATATAGCCCTGCGAAATAAGGCGCATAATCATCGTAAATTATGCTGCATTCGATTTTGATATGCGATTCTTAAAACTGCAAAATATGTTCACATATTTGTAAATTATGCGTTTGATGTGGATATGCGATTACAAAAATGCGAAATATTTTCGCATAGTCAGAAATTATGCGTCCGGTTGGATATGCGCTGGTTCATTTGGACATGCGAGTGTAATATCGCATAGCTTTCGTGAGTTTTGGGGTGTAAAAAAAGTTATTTGATGGGGCGGTGTGTAAAAGAAAGATTGCTACACATTCCAATCTCACCATTTTCCTGACCGTTAATTATAAGTAACGTCATGGCAACACATGATGCACAGTTCTACTACTGTGTGCCCTGGCACACCTAGCAAGGTGTGCCAAAGCAGTTTAAAATGAACATGTTACTTTATAAAATGAACATGTATAAATACAAGTTCATTTTATAAAGTAACATGTTAATTTTAAAAATGTCTTGGCACACTTTGATAGGTGTGCCAGGAGCACACCTAATTATTTGCGCATGATGCAACCCAAGTAAAAACCTAAAATTCCTATCCATTTATTATTTTTTTTCATCTGAAATTCTTCCATGGCCCTCCTCTGCAACTTGCAGCCACTCGCAGCCGCATTTCATATACGCCAGAGAAAATTGCAAATTAAAGATCGCCATCGTTTATATCCCCGTTTCAATCAAGAAAAATCCCAATTTGCCGTTTGTCCGAGATTCCATTATATCCTACCAGTAAAATCAGCTTCAGTTAATGGATACCCCATTAACAAAGAAGACGATCACGGCCTTCCATTGATTGATAGTGAGAGAATAGAGTTGAGCGAGAAGCTGAAGAAATGGGTTCAGTTTGTGAGAGAAATCTTGCCCGGTGGAAACTGGTGGAGGCTCTCATCAGAAGGCGTTGATAATGTCATTTCGGTAAAGCCCGTGACTGTTTTGCGGGCCCTTAGAAAAATGTGGGAGTTGATTGCCCAGGACAGATGGGTTGTATTTACTGCGTTTGTTTCACTCATTGTCACCGCGGTATTTGTCTGATTCAAAGTTTATTTTTCACTCACTTGAGTTAATTTCTGCTTAGTTTATAGATAAAGCTTGATGCATTCGTTGGGGATCATCATGTTTCATACAAGTGTTGGCTTTGTTGTTTATTTTTCTGCTATTATGAGTTAGTTGGGTAGTTCTTGTTCACTGTTTGACCCGAGAATACATTGAGGAAAACTAAAGAAAATGAAACGAACAAAAA